TTTGATCTCGTTTAACATAACGTGAGGCATTCGCCATTGCACCTTGTGTATTTCCACTTTAGACTCAGTCGCGGCATCTCCCACAAGACAATTGTTATCGTTGCGCGCTCATATCAAAATCAATTCGTGTCGAGCATTAACAACCACACGTTTGTAATCCTCACAAAAGCCTAGCAACATGTTGAGCGGCACGCAAAAGTTAAAGTATTTTTCGGATATGTGCGGTGTTAAGGCCCATCCAGCATTATGCAAAATTGTAGCTTTGCCATACGTTAGCGATAAATAGTTCTTGATAGTAATTCCAACATTTCTGTTGCGATCAATCTCCACACCGTTGAGTTTGTATCGAATTTCATCAAACTTGAACGTTACGCAATTTTTTGCAAGCGTTGTCACCGATCCTTCCTTCTTTTTCTTTCGCCATTTTTCCTTCGACGTAGAGAAAACTTTCGCATGGTAATGCGCATAAATCCTGCTGTTGTATGGGTATTCGTATTTCATCGCTGTGTCCAAACGCAGTATTAGCATATGGATTGTACGTGTGAGTCTCAATCTTGACGATGCTGTCGTCAAAGACTGGTCTATCTCCAATGTTTAGGATATTAGCCATCTCAGATACTATGCACGGTAAAACTTAAAGATTTTCAAAATTCAATTTGGAAGCAGTGAGTTTCTTCTTGATAGATCGAACGTTTTTCACTGTTGTCTCTCCAGTTAAAATTGTGTCTCCTATACGTTTCACCTGCTCATTCAGCACAAGCATCTCACGTTATCGCTGTCGTCTCCGTACGTGCAGCCTCACAGTGATTTCTTTTCCACGAAAATCGAGCAATCGACCGTCTTGATCCACAACGCGGATAATCAGATCCGATATGCTCCGCGCGATGATCGGAAGGTAAATGATCTGTGCAGGCGTTTCCGATATCTTATATCCTAGCGGCACGCTCGGCGAAAACTCGTGTATCGTATGCACACACTTGTCGTTACTATACGCACCCGCGGTCATGTTACACTCTATGCGAATGATGTTTACATTCATGA